TCTAAGTATAAATCACACATATGATTTGTTGAAAATAATTTTGTCTAAATTAAATAAGACCATTATAAATGATAAAAATTTTCTTTCTTGTAATGATTGAGTCTGAATAGCTTAACAATTAATTTGCGTGTTTGTTGATAAATAAAAAAATAATATAGGAAATTAATTTTTATATATTAAACATGAATATTCTTTCTTGTGTGAAAGCATTTTTAAGACATTTTTTCGATAAGAGGAATTTTTAAAATTTTTGTTAACATCTTATTTAATTTAATTTTTATTCATCATAATTATTTATGAATTAAATTTTAATATTTATAAAAAAATTATTGATAAACAAAAATAATATTATGTTATAATATAAATTATTTATCATAAATCTAAAATATAATTTATATAATTAAAATATTTATTTATATAAATTTTAAATTTAATTTATATATTTAAATACAATATTTATTAAAATATAATTTATTATAAAATTTAATTATATATAATAAATACTTAACATGTGTATTACACATATTAAAAACACCGGTTAATAAGTATCACGACATTTACATTAATGATTTTCATTAATAAATTTTAAAAAATATAGCAAAGAAGTTTTTAATACATTTAATTAAATTGTTTTAATTATTTAAAAGATTTTTTTGGGTATAGGATTATTTAAAATATCTTAAGTATTAAATTAAAGAATTTAACCTCATACATGAGATCATTTAAAAAATTTAATTAATTTACTTACAATATTTATAATATTAAATTTATCAATAATTTCTATTTTTTTTCAAAATTACTCCAAACTATGAGAATTCCATTCTTATAATTTCATTTTATCCAATTAATTAATGCATCTCCATTTAAGACAAATTTTCTATAAAAAAAAATAAAAAAATCAGATACAATATTTTTTCAAAATACGTTTGTATTTCTTACACCAATACTAAAGAATTAATGATGATGGTGTCCTTAACATTTACATGAATGTAGTAGCTTTGAAGAGTATTATTATTATTATTTTTTTAATTGAATGAAAATCATTTTTACAGTGATTTATTATTTGTTGTGTCTTCCGCATTGCATATTTGACTTGTTTGTGACCACTTGTGGCTTGACAAAATCTTATGACAAAAAGAGAATAAATGTGCCACGTATGATACAACAAGTCCCTTGGCATGTTTCATTCCATCTAGAGGATGAATTAAAATCTGACACATTTGCTTTTTCTTTGCTTCCACAGTACATGCCTTCAATTTCGGAAATTGTTGCTTATTTTTAATTTATTCTATTCTCATTATCTCATTCTCTCTATTTGAATATACTCACATTTTAACTTGTTCTTTCTATTTTTTCTACACTTTCCTGCTCAGTATTTTTTTTTTTACTTTTGCAGTAAAAAAAGTACACTATAAAAATGTCATTTACCAACAAGTACAGTGATATTCAATTTAAATATTTTAAATAAAGTTTTAATTTATATTTTGTATGTGAAAATAACATGTGTTAAGAGGAAAACGTCAGCTAAAAATGGTCATATTTTTTTTTCACAAAAATTAGCTATCGATAAAATTAGTTTATTTCGCATTAATAATATAGTAAAAAAAAATTATATAAAACCAAAATTCTCGTGTGAAAGTGTTCATAAAGACTTTACATTTCTTAACCTGCAATTCTTTAAAGAAATATATTGATCATGTAATAAGTTAAGTAACATTATTTTATATTAATAAATATTTTAATATGACATTATATTTATTAAATTTAAGAACCTAACTATAATAAAGTATAATTATATATATATATATATATATCAACTATAAATTATTTGAATTAATTAATATGAGATTGTTTCACTTTAATTATTAATATCAAATTCGAGTCTAAAATAAACAACTATATGTGAAATATTCAAATAAGAAAGCCTGTTACTTATAATAATTATATATGAGTCAAATAATATTGTGTATCGTAATAGATATCTGTAATTTTAAACAGAATAAAAATTTTCTTGTACAATATGATAATTAATTTTTATAATAATTTTAAAAACTCTATATAAAATAAACTTTAATTAGTTAATATATAGTGTAAAAATTCATTACACTACCAATACCTAAAAAGTAAACTCTAAATTTAATCAAATATATTTCTAAAACATAAAAATTCGAGTTACATAATAACTATACTTTTTTGTATGCATACTTTTGAAAAATTCGGTGTACACACGGTATATGTATTATATAGTTTGATAATTGAGGTGATAAGGAAGTATATTCTAAGCAAAGATTGATGAATGTGAGAATGCATGTAAAGTGCATTAGCACCGTTAAATTATGAATAAACTTTTGAAACGATGTTGATGTTGGGATTTGTATCGATCAGATTCTCCTTCCACCTCTTTTCACGGAGAAACTTTTCATTGGTTTGTTCCACAAAAGCAATCTGTAACCGTAGAATCAAAGATAAAAAGGTCTTGTTGTTCCATTCCATGGTCATTCATTCACACCAGACAAATAAGAGTTTTCAACAAAGGGTGTCTCATGAATCAACACTTGGCAACCTAAATTACCCCAACAAAAAAAAACAAAGTTCATGTTGTTGTTAGCTTTTGCTTCCGATTATTTTTTTATAATCTTGTTATTGATACGAAATATTTATCATTTTTGTCAATAATTAATCTGTATCAAAAAATATAGTTAATTAAATTTAAAGAATTTTGTCTTAATTATTAAGATCGATCTAGTATTAAGATATTAAAGTAGTAGTATACATAAGATTATATATTTGAACTCTTACATTAATGTAATTCTGATAGATAAAAAAATCTCACATCTTAATTACATTTTTTTTAGGCAAAAATACATTTTTCATCCCTTATATTATTTATTAATGTCAATTTAGTTTCACTTTAATTAATTGAATCAATTTACTCTTATATTTTTAAAATGTATCTCAATGTTTGACATTCCGTTTTCTCTGTTTAAACACTTAACAGATTTTCACGTGTCATGACATGTGACATGATGACATAACATATGATATGACATGTGTCACATTCGTTTAGTATTTAAACAGAAGAAATGAAAGGTCAAATATTGAGATACATTTTAAAGATATGAGACTAAATTGATTCAATTAATTAAAGTATGACTAAATTGACATTAATAAATAATGAGTTAATCACTTATACACTGTCAGTGTAAAGTTTTTTTACATTGATAACCAATTAGATCTTTTAGTTGTGTCACTGTTAAAAGTAAATGTGTTTATAGTGACATGGTACAATTAAAAGATTTAATTGGTTGTCAGTACAAAAAAACTTTACACTGGCAATGTATAGGTGATTGACTCATAATCATAAATAATATAACGGACTAAAAGTATATATTTTTACTTTTTTTATTCACAAATTCAAATCTAAGACGTAGTTTAAAAAAATTGAATATGGTATTATAGGGCCAACGACCTGTTAATTACTTTTTTTTTTTTCTATAGATGCCAATGCCAAACCTTGAAAATGAAAGGCCATCATTCCCTGTGGTTGGTTGCATGGTAGACCCTACTTCCTTAGATTACGTTCATCTTCTGCATATTTTACATTATCCCTTAGTTATATACTTAGGTTACATCTATCACCCATTGTTTATCTTTCATAGATTAAGTTAAACAAATCTATATCCCTTTCAGTTGAGATCATAAACAAATCCATATCTTAGTTACTGTGTGGAAGATAGATCTTTTCTTTAAGGCAAAGCTATATAATTATTTACTAACTTTTACATTAACTCAGATTATATCCTTTCTCTAATTATTGTTAGAGACACACATAGGATTTTCTTTATAATTTTTCAAAATATCTTCTCACTTTGTTAGTGGGTAACCCTTGGCAGTTAGAGACCACAAATCTGACGCCATTAATGAAATTTCCAGAGTTAGAGGTCACAAAAGTTAAGACTCCATTATGAAAATAAATTTGTATATTTTTTTTCTCTCTTTATATTCTACTTAAAAGTTAAAGCATATTCCAGAAATCTATTATTTTACTTATTAAGTTTTTAAGTGGTTCTTATCATATAAATATATCATTCATATCTATTTTTATAATTTAAACAACTCATCTTTCTAACCTATGACAATTGTAAAAGAAAAAATTGTAAATAAATCACACAAATTTCTTACATCTTTATATTATTCTATCGCTATTTTATAAAAATACATAAGCACAAAACTCGCAAATTTTTTAATGATTAATATTATTTAAGCACATGTTTGAGCAGTGTCTTGTAAGCCCCAGTACTTAACAAACAAAAGCATAATGGAGGTGGTTTCTAGATTCTCATGTACTTAGAGAACCTTTTTTTTTTAATCTTATTTGAACACGATAGGAAGGAAATTAATTTTTCAAAAAATGTTTAGATAAAGAAACAAAAGCTCCTGTTGTATTTGGATGACAAGGAAAATAATAGAGGAAAAAATATAAATAACAGTATTTTTTTTAGTTCAAGAATAAAATAAAAATAGAAAGAAAAAATAATTCCTAGAAACAAAAATTTAAACCATTCTTTTCATGTTTTTTTTTTCTTAAATTCAAATTTCAATTTTTTGTTCTCTTATTTTTTTTTCCCTCTGCCAATCACAGAATCAGTGATATATTTTTATTCACATGATTCTAAGAATCAAAATTAATATATTTTAATGAATTAAGAAAACCAGATTCAAGTCTAAAAAAATACATCTCCATAAACAATAACTCAACCGTTGTTTGTTAAGATTGATTTGATGTCACATGGTAGTTTGTTAAGATACCTTTGTTGTCACATGCAATATAGTTTCGGTTGGAAATTTGGAGCCATGGAAGTTATGAAATCAAATGGTCCAAGAAAGGAAGTTAAAGGTAAAAGGCATAAATGTGGTAAAAAAAAAAGTTGAAAAAATAAAACCAAGTTGGTCAATCCCAAGGACCATGTTGTCTTTATTGGACCTGCGCACCTCAATGTTGTTTTCTTTTCTTTCTTTCTTTTATTAACACATAAGAACAAAAACAATCCACATGCAGCTGCTGCATTTTCTTGTGTTCTGGTTCCTGACTCACATGTGAGTGTGCAATAGACTCATAATTTACTATTTGGCATATTTTTTATTTTATATATAAATATAATCCATTCGGTGCACCGAAAAGTGAGCACATTCAATTTATTTACTTTCTACTCCTTTCATAAACATTTTTATATTATTTCTCTCACCATTCGTTTTATTTTAAATCTAATTTATAATTAAGGATATCAATTTGACTTACATTCGACTTGATTGAATCATTAGAGTTGGGCTTATTTTTAAAAAATTATAAACTAGTCTGATTTTGCAACGCTAAGACAAAGCCTTAGATAAAATTGAATCAAGTTTTACATTAAAAACAAATACACTTGACACTTATGCATGAAACAACCAAAGTCACATGATATAACTAATGTGGCAAATTTACTACTAAAACTTGATCTCATCGTCGTTGAAACCATCATACTACGACTAGAAGCCTAATTTTTTACTCAACTTTGCAAGAAATCTAATGATGTATTTTAGTGGTAGCAATTAATAATTTAAAATGAATTTTATTCAATCTAGTACAATTGTATGTTTGTATTGCTTTTTCTTCTGTATTACTCACATGATCCTAATAGGAGACAATTGATGGTGGTTAGAATACTTATTGTCCAACCGTCAAGGTAGTGCGAAACGATGATGTTCACTTGCAATGACAATACCGGTTTGGAATTGTGCAGGTTAATTAAGAACCAACCAAGTATTAATCATGCAAGTATATATAAAGAACATGCCTAAGAGTGAGAGAGTGTTGGTGAATAATATGCATTTGGGAGGTGACATGTTTGGTGATCATCTTATGTGAGTCGTTTGTCCACTATAAAGAGAGCTACATCATGATGAGAAATGATATTTGTGTAAATGTATTTTTGATTTTATTAAATATTATAGTTGTGTAATTTTAGTCTTTTAAGTTTTAATTAAATGATTTTGTCCTTATCACCACTAGTGAAAAAAACACTTTTAAAATCGGTCATTTTTTACTTTTAAAATCAGTTCTCTGACCGATTTTAAAAGAGCCGATTTTAAAAAGTGGGACTTGATGTTAAAAGTGAGACTTTTAAAGTTGGTCAACAGTGATCGATTTTAAAAGTCCCACTTTTAACATCGGTCAACAGTGACCGATGTTAAAAGTGGGACTTTTAAAATCGGTCATTTTTTACTTTTAAAATCAGTTCTCTGACCGATTTTAAAAGAGCCGATTTTAAAAAGTGGGACTTGATGTTAAAAGTGAGACTTTTAAAGTTGGTCAACAGTGATCGATTTTAAAAGTGGTTAATTTTTTTTTATATATTTGACTTATTTTAGGAGGATCCTTGAACAAAACCTGCAAATTAATAAAATACCAGACAATTCATATATTTTTAAAAGACCAAATTACATACAAATGACAAGAGTTGGTAAATCTCAACCATATATTTAATCAAAGTAACTTACAAATTATGATGCATCCTAAATTACAAAATGAGTAAAATTATAAACATAACTCGTAGCTGGTTAATGTTTCAATGAAAAATGTAGCCCATTGCTCCCTAATGGTGTTTATATCTTCTAGCGACAATGGTGATCGATCTATAAATATCTATTAAGAAAATTTAGAATAATTAGAAGTAACTCTTAAAACATGATAAAATGCAAACTTAAAATAAAAAATTTAGTCATATGTTCACTCATTTACTTTAACAATCTCATCTCAGTTATGCTCTTTTTGTGCGACTGTAGTTGCAATTGGAAAACATTGACTCCCTCACTACCATAGAGCATCATTAGTCTAATAACTGTCAGTAGAAACAATAAGCACTCTGCTCAACTAACTAGGCTAATCTTCTTAATAAATGATAAACACTTTACAATCACAAATTAAGTTATTACATTACTGTGAGGTCAAGGGAGTAGGGCCGGTCATATGTACACAACTTTAAGCTACTGAGAGGATAGGTTGTGAGCATTGCCAGAACCCATGAGGCCATGACCACAGGTAACAATGCAAACAACCTCACCATAACACCTAGGCTCACCCCCAGATAATCCATCAATTGCCAACAATAATATGCAATAACAAAGTAACCAACGAACAATGAAAGAAGCAGAGATAATTATGAGGCAATACATTTCCTTCGCCATCTGTCTAGAAATGAACTCCTTGGAATGAGCAATGACTTTGTCCGTTTTGTTGCAGAGAATAAGCAACGGAACCTGAGTTTACTCGGAATGGAGAAGGAAGGTGTCATGGTTGGGTTCCATGGACGTAATGGTAGCCTCGTGAGAAGAGCCATCCCTAAGCTAGAAAAGCAGAAGAATTAAACATAACAATAAATTGAATTGCAGAAAGAGAAGGGAAGGATGGGTTACTTGGTAGAAGAGAAGGTGAGGCTAGTGAGCAGAACGGTGTTGGAGCTGCGGCGGTTGAAGAGGCGAACTGAGAGGAAAAGAAAGAGTTTGATTTGATGTGAAAAGTGAGTGAACATAGAAAAGGAAAAGGAAAACAAGGAATGAGATAAGGGAAGCGCTGACGTGAGAGGAATTGGGGGAACAGTGAGAATTTGTTGCTTCAGTTGTTCCATTTCCATGTCTTCCCTTTCCTTTCGATCTGACTTGTGTTGTCCCGCCACCTTCAATTTCAAATTGTCTTCTAAAACCACACCAACTCTTAACTCCATGCACCACCTTCAAGTTAAAGCATTTGAAAGTTGATTTGGAATATATACCTAAAAGTTTTGTCTGGAACGGCCCCAATACGGCCCGTACTGCTTGTAGAATGGCCCGTTCTTCAAGCAGTACGTCCCGTTCTACAAGCTGAACGAGCCGTTTTGGGGCCGTTCTGGGGCCGTTCCAGACTCAAAATTCCCCGACAACAACGAAATAAGAGACAATAGAAGACAATGTTACCTTGATGTTGTATTCTTCCGAAAAAATGAGAAGCTGCACACTTTAAATAAGAGCCCGAGAGAGTAAAGAGAGGAATATATGAACTATTGAAGTCAAAGAGTAGAGAATGGAGATAGGGGGAGAACGGGAGAGGAGATAGAAGTTTAAGTCTCTGATGTTACTTTTAAAATCGGCTGGTCAATAACCGATTTTAAAAGTGATACTTTTAAAATCGGCTATTTGATAGCCAATTTTAAAAGTAGACTTTTGATTTTAAAAGTGGACTTTAAAAATCGGTCTTCAAGAACCGATTTTACAAGTGGACTTTTAAAATCGGTCTTCAAGAACCGGTTTTAAAAGTACTGTCAAAGACTTTTAAAATCGATCATAACATAACCGATTTTAAAAGTAATGCCATTATTTACAAAATTGCCACCGCGTCACTTTTAAAATCGGTTACCTTATAACCGATTTTAAAACCCCGATTTTAAAAGTCATTTTTGTACTAGTGCACATTTGTGTGATTTTGGTTCTTTATACTAGTGCAAAAATAAGATTTTTTTATGTGATTTTTGCATCAAGTGTTATCCACACAACATAAAAAGTGACGCGCCGTGACATACTTATAAATATGTCAAAACATTTTATGATGGGTGTTGTGTGAGACCTGTAAGCCTTTTCTCCCCCCTCTCTCATTTTTCCTTTCTTTCTCATTCTCTTTCTTGGTTAAGCCATGGTGTTGGTGGTTGATTTGGAAGGTTGAGCTGGTGAGAAGCAAGGAAAACAACAAGGTTGTTGAAGTCTTCCTCCCGAAGCATCTTCATTTCTTCTTCTTATTCTTCTTCAACCTCGGAGTAGCTCGGAGATCATCGTTCACTCCGTTTTGAGGTAAGGGAAGGTAGTGTTGAGATTGGGGGAGCCTGAGCTTGATGAGATCACC